GTTTACAGTGGCAGATTCTTCTACTGCCCTTGCTATACCAAAGAGCGATGAAATAAATGTTTTTTGAGTTTTCTGTTTCACTAACCCAAAGCACCAGTCTGGTGAGAATTTGGTGTGACCCGCAAGAAGAAAATTATACTCAATTTCATGGTGGAGGCCAGTCATTACTCTCCAAAGATAATACCACATAAAGGCATTGTTTTTGTTCTGTGCTCCACAGTTGTCGGCATCGACCTGAGCAAGTGTTTCACCTAGTCCATGACGCTCGAAAAAGTGGTGAATGTAAGATATTGTACTGTCTGCTCCCTTCCCTGTTAGGACAGTTTCATCTATTAAAAAGTTTACTTGCCTTGGTATGGCCTCACAGCAAACTCCAAAAAGCCCACATTTCCAGGGCGTCTTGAAATAAATCGGGCCACGTTGGTAAGGGTCAGAAGGATAGTGAAGCTGCTGGGCATAATCATACAGATAATGCACTGTTTCATCAAGACTGCATGGTGCATGTTTCTCTGTAAAATCAACGCTTTTGAGGTGCTCAGTGAGAGCATCCTTGGTGGTTTTACAACAGTATTTGTAAAGTTCCCTTTTGCCTTCAACCAGAAGTAAGTGTCGCTCTTGTTGTCTAACAACTTCTGCCTTTGGGAACTCTGGTAAATTGGCACTTTTGTGGATTTGATTGCTGTTCTTTTGACAAGTCCAACAGAGATCTGATGCTGGTCTCATGATGACTATAAATGGGCAAAGTTGCCTCCACAAGCCACAGAACTTTGAATAGCCAACAGCTACTTGGCTGGCGGTAATGCAAGCGTCTTGATAAATTTTCCACATCTTGTGCTTTGTTAAAGAAGATCGTAGAAGTTTTACATCCATTCTCTTGAAACCAGGAACACGACCAGGGAATAAAAGAGCTTGCTCTTCTGCGACATTCGTTATAAACTTCACGACCTGTTCAATAGATTCAGCACTCAAAGCGGAGCTGGGAAGGCGTTTCTTGTTCCCATGAATACGAAGAGTTAATCCATTATTCCTGTAATGTTTGACAAGACTGTAAAATCTTGTTTTGTGAAGGTGATGCATGAACAGGAATGTTTTCAAACAGATTCTGTGGTTGTGAAAATAAAAAGGCATCCTGGTTTGCTGCCGTTTCTTTTCCATCCTTCCTGAATTACTGACTTCGTCACAGTTCAAGGAGCTATGTATTGTCCCTAAAGTTACGAGATCAAGTTCGGTGGAGGAAAGTTCAAAACAGTTGTTTCGACAGTCGATTATGTCTTCAGTTTGAATTGTAGAGCTGCATGGTTTTCCTTGGTCGCCTTGCATACATCCACAGCCTTCACTCATGAATGCCTCCACTTTTGCATGCTCGGATTAATCAACCTCCAAAAACTCAAACTCAAAGTCATTATCAGAGTCAATGTTGTCGTCCTGATGGCCTTCTTCGTCGCTGCTAAAATCAGAAGAGTTGTCATCTTCTGGTTCGTCCTCAACCGGTCTAAGGTTGAAATAGGCTTCTACGACGGATTCCAAATAGTTTTCGCTGCCTAGAAAGTACGAATATTCTTACTCTTGAGATTCCATAATTATAATTCGATGATTTTCGATCACTTGTCACTTTCCAAAATGCGGTCAACCATGTCGCTTACAGTAACTACGGAAACAGAACCAATTGAACATGCGCAAAGCAGTCACATTGACCTCGTGAAAGTATGTGTGTGGAAAATGCAAAGGGATAAATTGCTGCACTTATCTCATTTTTACGTTCTGCATACAACAGTGAAATCGAGGTGTTTCCTTGGAGTCTTTTCTACGGAAAAGCAAACATTGGTACAAAAAGCTGGAGAAATATTTATGTAAGAACAGCAATAGAAAGAGCTGGCCAAAAACAATTTTTCCTGGCGATGTAATCTGGTAAGTTGCATGCAAATTAAGAAATCTACCGTGTTAACAAGTCTAACGTGTTAAAAAACAAAGAAATAACCATGTCGATCTACCGTGTTAAAATACAAAGAAGTAACCGTGTCAATCTACCGTGTTAAAATACAAAGCTCTACCGTGTTAGCCAAATGCAAACAATGGCCATAAGCACATTACTTGAAAGCAATTGTTTTCTTTTGCATATACGCACGATAAGCGTGTCATGTTAGAACCGTGCGAATGTGTAGCTACCATGCTGTGTGCGTGCTTTCTCCTTATTCACTGTTTTTGCTGTGCTTGCAAATCTTGCATCCGTTCCGTAACACTAACCATTTGTTCCTCTTCAGTGGCAAGCTTTTTGGTGACCTCACCAATTGTATCATCTTCGCTGTCGCTGTCATGCACGTGAGCAGGCTGCTTTTGACCCTTTACTTTTTCCTTTCGCGTCTTCTTGCCACTGAACTAACAGTGGCTGTTGGGGCGGTGCAACCAGCTGAACTGGAACTGCTCGGCGCTTCAGCAGCACTTGTTTCTGGACTATTTTCTGAGCTTCCACTGTTTTCTGAAGCCTGTGTACCAGCTCGCTCCATGTTGTTACATGTGATGATATCACAGCAGTCAAGGACAGAATCAATTATGTTGCGATGAGGACTTTTGCATAAATTTCCTCCGCTTTGCCGACAATTTCAGTCCTTCTTTTCTTTGTACTGGTTCTTTGAGTGCTTAACTTTGCGCTGGCACTGGTTGACGGTGTATTTTAGGCCTTGTGCCTTGGAGATTTCCTCCCAGGCTTTGCAGCTATCTTTGCTTTCTACTTTTTCAATATTGTCAGCCCAAAGCCGCAATGGAATTTTTTCATCTCTTCCTTTTGTTGGACTTTTTTTGCTTCTCCTGAGGCAGCTGAAGGAGCTGGTGATGGCTGGATTGGCTGGCGATGTTCAAAAGCCCGGTCAAAAGACGGCTGTGAGGTCAAAGGCTGCAAGTCTTGGGAAAAAATCTGCGAGCTAAAGGGTGAAAACAAGCCATCCCCATACTGAGAATAATCAGGTGAATAGTGCAAATTTGTAAATTGGTATGGTTTGAAATTTGCCATAAGGACCAGATAAAACGTTTGTAGGGAAAACCAGTGACAACAATTTTGAACCGATAGCTGTAGCTAGCTGTGCACACATGTTGTCTTTGCAGAATTGTGAAAATCCAATTTTTGCCCGTATTTCAGATTTGATTGACGTTGCGACAGAAGAAAAACAAACAATTGTTATTTTATGGCCATTAGACAAGGTATGACCTGCTTCAAAGCAGGACATCCACTTTTTTGATCTTTAGGTCCTTTGAACATAGTTATGTCTGGTGTCGACTAAAGGGTCGCACTTGTCGCAAGCACGCGATGACAGGTTTTATGTCCAATGTAAACACCAAAAGCGTTAGTACAACCCCTGCCTTAGCTTATGTTCACATGTTTAGCAATAATTGGTCAACTGGCTAATCCTGTCCTGGTGTAGATTAAGAAGTTACACCATGCTTAGTTCTTGGAAAAGGAATAACATTTAAAAGCATGCATGTTCACATTTGGAAGACTGAAATAATACTACATTTAAATAGTATGGACTTCAAAAACCCTCCGTGTTTAACTGTTTTTAATATGTAACTGAGTTTTAGTTTACAAAACCTCTTAAACTCCAGAGCTCTCCTCATGATGTCTGAAATATTTAAGGCTGTTCAACAGTATTTCTGGAATCTGAAATGCAAAATGATAGAACGCCTGTGCAGTCACAAGAAAACTAACAGAGAAATACAGCTAGACTATTCCTAAAATCATCTTACATGTGGAAGATCATTTGATATTCAGGAAAGGGTAATGCATATGTCAAAGGAAGGAGGTCCACAGCAAAATGCACTTTGGTGTGGGAAGTGGGCAGGATAATTCCTGAAATATCTTTGTATAATAACAGAACAGCAACCCACTTTCTAGAATATAACAACAACATTTCTTTTAACATTTTTCTGAAAAGATATTTCCTTAGTAAAAAACCTGTTTTGGTAAATGGAAACAATTTTGCACCTAATTTACCGCTAATAGTGTTAAGACCTCTGAGCCTAAAATATCAAAACTTCTAAAATACTTGTGTACAACAACAGAACAGCAAACAACTTTTTGGAATGTGACAACACTACATGTGCTTTTCTCTTTACCTTTTTCTGAAAAGGTGAATACCGGTACCTAACTTAGTAGTAGAAACATACTTAATCAGTGTTAAGACTTTTGAGCCCAACAATGTCACAGAAGACATTATGTTTGTGGCCTGAGACAAGCTTGTCAATTGCCATCTGTGACAGGTTACCAGCACAGTAAAGTACCTCAGCACTACCATCAAAAAGTTCATGAGAAGCAATTTCTGGGTCAAATAATTCATACCCACTTCCTTGTATGTCTAGCAGCATGAGTTTTTGTCTGACTTTTCATAAGAAAACTGCGTTAGACATTGAGCCTTCTGACCCGTAACATCTGTTTCATCGACACAACAATCACCAGTATTGTTTAAGTACTTGGTAAACTTTCCATCTACAAACTCCTCCACAGTCATACATTCTCCCTTATCATCTTCACTGTAGTAGATCTTTCTATACCTTGGGACCTTTCCAAATGCATCAATAACATGTTTTTCAACAATTTTTAGTTCCAACTGGGAAGCAAAATTCCTTGCAAGAAGATGCATCTGAACCACCTTTTGGGTGTTTTGTTGGACAGTTTGTCCAATGTCATTTATTCCCTTCACTGCATCAGGAATGTATCTTTTAATTACCCAAGTAGTCCCCTTGAACTGTGGGTGCTTTGTGGTTGCTTTGTATGCATTGCGAAACCCACTGTTAGCAAACGGCTCCTTTTCTTCATTGAATTTGACAGTTGTTGGTAACTTGGACCATGACTAAAGATCCATGTCAAATGTGTGCAAATACACCACTGTAGTTGGGCCTTGGGTTGTACTGATCTTCCCAAGTTTAATCATGTCTGTGACTGATAGACTAAGGGGAGCAAATTTACCAGGACTCAATGAAGCACCACTACCTTTAGAAACTTTTGGTGGATGAGTGGGGCCTTCTAATCTTGTAAGAGTATGGCTATGGGATTGTACCATTTCAAGATCACTTTTGCTAATCCTCCACTCTGGTATACAATCTTGGATGTTACCAATAACGAATCTCACGTAAATTGTCTTCATATCCAGTATCCGCTCCAAGGTCTTGCAGGAGGGACCTTGCTCTCCAACGAGAATATCCCAAACCAGAGAAGTACTGCCTTGCATAGCAAGATAGTCGTTGAACTGTTGGTTTGTTTCCTTTAAGTAATTTATGCGTTTTATCTCCTGTATCATGCTTGTTCCCTCTTTTCGCAGTCACTTTATCTTTTACCTTTTTCCATGTGGGGTCCACCATATTGGAATCTCAAAAGGGATCCTGTATGGGAAGCCGTTTGTTGCAAGCTTTAATCCTTGCGATATATGTTTAATCCTTTAAATAATGGTTTTATTCAAAGATGTAAATAGGCATGGTGGGTAGGTAGGTA